AGTACACATCCTTGTCTTATTCCTGATCTTAGAGGAAAAACTTTCAGCTTTTTACCATTCAGTATGATATTAGCTGTGGTTTTGTCCTATATGTCCTTTATTTTGTTGAGGTATGTTCCCTCTTTACCCATTTTGTTGAAAGTTTTTATCATGAATGAATGTTGAATTTTGTAAAATGCTTTTTCAGCATCTATTGAGATGATCATATGGTTTTTATCCCTCTGTTAATACAATGTAGCACATTGATCTACAAATAATTGTACAGTTGTACAATTTGTACATTGGACAACACTTGGATTCCTGGAATAAATCCCATTTGGTTGTGATGGATGATCCTTTTGATGTATTTTTGAATTTGATTTGCTAATATTTTTATTGAGGTTGTTTGGATCTGTATTCATCAGGAATACTGGTCTGTAATTTTGTTTTGTTTTGTCTTTGTCTGGTATTAGAGTGATGCTGGCCTCATAGAATGGGGTTTGGAAGTATTCCCTCCTCTTCTATATTTTGGAATACTTTAAGAAGGATGGGTATTAGCTCTTTTTTTAAATGTTTGTTAGAATTCAGCTGTGAAGCCTGAAAAATATTGATTAATGTAGCCATCTTCATTAATTATTTTATGTCTTTTGGATAACTTGCTGCATCTTTAACATACATCAGCACTTGCATTTTCACCGTGCATTTTTATGTTACTGAAATAGCTTCTTTCCTTAAACCTCATGTTTACAGCTCATGTAATCCACCTCTGTTAGTTTACAGATTTTCTTCTTGTTTCCTTCACCTCTCTCAGCCTTCATAGAATTGAAGAGAGTTAGGGCATTGCTCTGGATTAGGCTTTGGTTAAGGGAATGTTGTGACTGGTTTGACCTTCTATCTAGACCACTAAAACTGTATCAGTAATAAGACTGTTTTGCTTTCCTATCATTAGTGTGTTCCCTGAAATAGTACTCATAATTTCCTTCAAGAACTTTTCCTTTGTTTTCGCAACTTGGCTGTTTGATACAGGAGGCCTAGCTTTTGGCCTGTCTCAGCTTTTGTCCTGCCTTCATTATTTCTAACCTTAATCATTTCTAGTTTTTTATTTATAATAAGAGACATGTGACTCTTCCTTTAACTTGAAGACTTAGAGGCTATTTTAAGGTTATCAATTGGCCTAATTTCAATATTGTTGTGTATCAGGGAATAGGGAGACCTGAAGAAAGTGAGAGACAGAAAATGGTCTGTCTGTGTGGACTAGACAGAACACACACATTTATTAATTTAGTTTGACATCTTATTTGGGCATGATTTATAGCTCCCCAAAACAATTTACAGTAGTAACATAAAAGATCACTGCTCACAGATCACCATAACAAATATAATAATGAAAAAATTTGAAATATTGTGAAAATTACTAAAACATGACACAGAGACATGATGAGAGCAAATGCTATTACAAAAATGGCAATGATAAGACTTGTTTGATGTGGGGTTGCAACAACCCTTCAATTGTAAAAAAACACAGTATCGTCAAAGCATGACAAAGTAAAGTATAATAAAACAAGGTATACCTGTACAGGGGATCTATGGCAATACATTATATCTTATATATTAATGAGATTCTGAAGTTAAGTGGAAATTTGTAATGTACATATTTTCTTATCTGTACCTTTGCTTATCAAAACAGCTAAAGGTGATTAGAACAGGTTTAATTAAATAAGCATAATTCTAAATACAGAACCATTTAAAATTATATTTCTTGTTTGATGAAACGTGTGTGGATTTTTTTGATATCCATATGTAATTTGATTTTATTAATAGATTTGATTAATTTTTAGCTCAGTTTTTATTCTATTTGTAGAATCTCACATATTTAGAAAGATTTCCTCAAGTGGAACTAAAGTAAGTGTAGGGAAAGAAATCTTCCCTTGAAAATGATTTATTCATTCATTAAATATACTCAAAAATATATTTATTGAGTTCCTACATTGTGTCCAGTGAAAGTTTAGTAGGACTTATTGCCTGCCCACAGTGAAAAATAATTTAAGTTATGCCCTGGAGTTCTACTTGTCAAATCTGGGACAATGTATACACAAAAATAATCAATTACAGTAAATTACAAGCCATTGTGGAAAAAAGGAATTCATGAGTCCATGCCAGTGATAGACAGACAGATAAGGGAGGAGAGAGGCCTCCTTGCTTATAGTAAAAGGCCTGGTGCCAATTAGGAAATAAATAGGGGATGCTTGTGTTGGGAAACAAAATTCAACATTTTGCACACATCATAAGAAGGATATGGATTGGGATGCTAAATCTAGGAGAAATTTTAGAAAGGAGCATCATTTTTGGATAGTTTTAAAATGTTTCCCCACAGATTATTTATTTATTGCAAAGGAAAAGTTAGGAATTGTTTTATAATACTGGACAGTACATTGTCTGGATGATCAAAATTAACATCAACATTGAGAAGCAGATAAATCTCCTGTACCTCCAGCTATGATAGTCTGAGAAGGACACACTATTGCTTGTATAGTATCTCAGCCGAGAATGCATAATCTGAATCTAATTGTATGGAAATATCAAACCCAAAATGAAGAATATTTTAATGAATGAAGTTGGGGGTGGGGGACAGCATTCTTTACAAGTGTCATAAAGGAGTCATAAAGTGTCATATTGAAGGAGGCTAAAGAGATTAGACAGTTAAATGCAATACCTGACTCTAGAAAGGGAGCTGTATATAGGGGGTGGGGGAAATACTATAAAGTATACTATGGGGTCAATTAATAAAACTGGATTATAAATGATAGGTTAGATAAATGTATTAATGTTAAATGTATTGAAATATATACTGTGGTGTCATGTAAGACAGTATCCTTATTCTTAGGAAGTATACACTTAAGCATTTAGAGATTTTAAAAAAGGGCCAGAATATACATAATTTGCTCTTAAATGTTCTGAAAAATATATGTCTGAATATGTGTATATATAAATATATGTGCACTAAATATATGGGGTAAGAGTGACCAAATGTAAAGCATTTGGGATAAAGTGGTAACAATGAACCTGGGTAAACTATATTTGAAGTTCTTTGTACTATTTTTATTCTTGTAACTTTTGTGAGACCTTGTAAATATTTCTAGATAAAAAGTTAAAAAAAATAAGAAAAGTAGTTCTGTCATAGGCATGTTGGGAGCACAAAAAAAAGAAGCACAAAATAATTGACTGGGGTACATGAACTTAGAAAACTGAGGCACAAACGAATGTTTTGCTGCCTTATCAGAGACCTATTGGTATTTATTAGCATCTGCTAAGTGCTACCTGCTTCGGCCACGTATCAGATAATAATGGAGAAACTATGTTGTGTTCTAAAAATTGTACAAAACTAAGTTTGTTTTTAGCTGTTCTATCTATTGAAAGCATACGTTGAAGATTACTGATGCTTTAATATGTGTGTTACGTATAATAGTTTTTACCCTTTTTATGTTAGCACATTACATTTTAAAAACACTACAGTGGAAATGATTTATGTTCGTATGTTACATCTAATACAGGGCCTTAAGGATGAGTTATTAATCACAGATTGCAGGAGTACATTTTTATTATGTTAACCAAGTGGGAATGCTCATTGTTTTTGTTTGTAACACAGGGTGTTTGGATAGGATATATCCAACCTCTTAATTGATACCATAATTTATAATAAATGTGCAAAATGTTAATAATCTACTGGATAAACCTATCTGAAAGCTAAATCAAATTTCATCTTTTTAAAACTAATTTTTCTACCACATGTCTGGATTTCTTCTGAGGGCATGACTGAATTTTTATTTTGAAACTCCAATAATATTTGTATTGTCATAAAAAAATTTTTGACAATGGTCTTAGTTAAAAAGGAAGATCTAGTCTATGATGTTATATTTGAAATTAAATACAGAGAGTATGATAATTCTTATGCCCTCTACACAATGGCAAATGGTATAGATTTGGAAAGCAATGTAGTAGCAAATGGTGTCTGATACGATTTTAGTGAGTCTGAATATTAGATCTGGATATAGAACTTTATTCTGTCATTTGAGTCCAGCAATGCATATTTTATTTGGCTTATTCTACAACTAAGTGACTTTTCTTTCTAGCTTTAAATAATTGTAAAGAAATTAATTTCAACCTCTCAGTCATGGTTGCTAAGAAGAAAGCTGCTGAATCCAGTGTTTTATCAGATCATATTTAGATGTATGGAATTTCTATGTGCTGGTTCTTCAAACTTTTTGCATTTCTGTTGGTTTTATCTCACAATGTTAAGAGCATTTTCAGGACCTGAAAAAAAATGTGTAATTTTTTTTTTTTTAAACTTGCAGCAGTCCACCATTGTAACAGGCTTTTATTCTCCAGTCCCCACACCACCATGCCCAGCAAAGAGACTCATTTTGTGTTGAATTGAAATGTTCTTGGTATAAGCACATGCTATTTGTGTTGGCCTTACCAAAGTCTGTAGAAATATTTTAGTTATTATAACTACTGGAATTGTTTTCAAAAACAAACATATTCCCAGCCCATACTGGGTATACATGGTTAAGATAGAAGAAGCCAGTGATATGGTCTTTGTGTCCAGATAAAATTGCAGAAAGTCGCACAGAGTAGCCTGACTTCTGGTGAATTTTAGTTGCACTGTAGTAATAAGCTACTACCTTAGGTGTCAAATTAGCAGTGCTGCTGAACAAATTCTTTTACAGACTGGCTAGTTCCTTTTCCTGTTTCCAGTTGTTTGGAGATTTAACCTGGGTGCTGTGTTGCACCATTAAGCATTTAAAAAATGCCTGCTTAATTTAATAGAAGGAATACCTTCATTGGTGAACATATAAGTTACTGGCTAGATTTCTTTTTCAAGATTATGCTAATCCAGGAGATATATTATTCAGTACATAAATCAAAGTAAAATATTACATTAATTTTATAATTGTTTTTATAATTGTGCCATGTCTACTTGCCCATGTTATAATTTGGTATTAACTTCTTTTTAATGATAGACGAATCCTTAGTGCTGTGGAAAAGAGCAGACAGAAATATAAACCAGCTTCTCTCACAGTGGAGTTCGTCCCTTTCTTTTATCGTAAGTAACAGCTCTAACTTTGATTTTGAAGTTATCTTACTTTGACTTTGATGTTGCTTTGATTATTCCTTTGATTCAGCTTTGTGTATTTGTAAGATAAAGACTGTGAGAACCTGTAACTAGAGAACTTGATTCATATTTTGCTGAGATTATTGTTCTTTCTTTTCTTTAATTTACTGTTCTGAAAGTGTGTGTTTTTCCTGTGAGAGGAGCTGAATATTTTAGTGATGGTAGTGTATTTTAGAACTTCAGAATTTTTACTGCAAATAAACTTGAAAGTTGGCTACTATATGTGTAACTATATGTTTTGTTAAAAAAAACATTATTGTATTTGAGAATATAGAAAAATTTTCAAATATAAAAGGAATGAGCACCTTGTGTTTCCCACTCAAATTTTAACGTTTCGCCATTTTGCCATGTTTGTTTAGTTCTTTCTCTCTCTCTCTCTCTTTTTTTTTTTTTTGCCTAAGAAGTAAGACATAAATAATCCTTGATTGTTAAGGTAAGATGATTGCAGCACCCACTCTGCTTGACCATTGGTAGTGATAGTGGCTTCAGCTAGATAATCAAACTCACGTGTCCACAATAGGCTATGCCTGGAACTGGAGGAACTCAAAGGACACAAAACAGGAAACCCAGCAAGTCTGTAGAATAGTGTAGGTGTTTCTATTCAGCAGGAGATTTTCACAACATTCCATGAGCTATTCTTCAGTTCTTTAAAAGAGGGGAGACCAAATTTGTGGGTGTGTAAAGCCATCCTGTCTTTGAAGCACAGTAACCCATAGAAGCCACTGTACATTGTAATCGTCCATGAATGTAACTTCCAAATCCTGGGAAGGGAAATGCCTAAATTGCAAGTTACACTGCAGTCAGGGAAACCCAAGTTTATGAGTTCCTGGCAGGTATTTATAGTCATTCATAGTTGTCCTTGTCCATCTCAAGGGCCATTTTTACCTTAAGCAATGTTGCCTGGTAACACATTTGTCCTCTGTGCACATTTGTCAGGTTTCCAGTGATGTAATTTCACTCCAACAGTCTTATGACTAGAGTTTACATAGTATATCTTGTTACATTTTTTTATGTGTTTTCTGTGTGTCTGGTGTGGTTGAACGACACCCTGTTATCTTCTGGCTCTGTGTAAAATCTGACAATTACTGAGCTTATGATTTCTTGGTAGGTTTTTACCTGTCTTGTGGGATTTCACACTATCATGTAATGATTGATACTTGGACTCAAAGTGAGCCCTGTGCATGATTCTGGAGGGCTTTCTCTGTATAGCTTCCTTCACTCCTGTACTGCTTCACAAATTCCATTGCCTAGGCCTCACCAAACTTCTCATCTGTCTCCTAACTCAAATTTCTAGAACCTAAAATTTCTAGAACCTCCAATTTTCTAGTTATTTCTTGCAGAAAACCATGTGTAATGATAGTTATTCCAAGAGAGATGGAATGACTTAATTTTTAAGTGTAAATTTCTCTCAGTACATTTTACCTCAAAGCTCTTTCTTCTGGTAATATTTGTTATGTAAAATACTAGAAACAATTCTATTGTAGTCTTATCTTCATGTGTACTGATATATGCAAAATAATATACATTACTGGATTATCAGCAGTATCAAAAGAAAGGGGTGAGGCATCAAAGTTTACCAGTAGAGAACAGATTAAGTAAAGGATATCATTGTAGTGGTATGAATAAAGCAGGTATGTATGCCAAGGTGTAATAATACCCAGGATGTAATAAGTTAAAACAAAAAAAAAGAGCATGAACAGCTTTTATTCTTTTTAATTTTAAGGTGTGGGAGCATAGTAGATTTTGCAGTAGGTTGGAGGGAGTCTTACTTTTCCTTGTCAGTTTTTTTTTACTTTTTCTTTGTCATGTGCATGTATAATGTTTTAAAAACAATAAAATAATTTGCAATATTAAAGGAAAGATTACTATTGCTATTAGAATTTTATAATACGGGCCCTGGAGTAGACCCAGGAAATAATTTTATCCAGTTCTTTGAATTTTATAATTGAATAATTATACTCAATTACACTAACAGGAGGCAATAGTAGTAAAAAGGCATCTAATTTTATGTTAGGTTTCAGTCAATTTCTAGCTCTCTCACTTAGCCTTGTGGCTTTATACAGGGTATTAAATTTTGACCTTCCATTTCCTCATTTATCAATGGGACAAATATCCTCATATGGAGGAGTATTATGGGAATTTAATGAGATAATGTAAATAAGGTATCTAAAATATTACCTAATAAATGGTTTTTCTTTTTCTTCCCTATGAAAAAATGCATATCAACCTGTCTTTTTTTAGCTTTTTCACAAATAATTCTTAATGTTTCAGTAATAAGTGTTCCTTAGAGGTAAATCATACTGTGAAAGAGAAATCTTACATGCTTATTTGTGAATTACATTCACAGAGTGTTTTCAGGAAAGTGAACATCTCAAGGAAAGTCTTAAGTGTTGTTTATTGCATCTCTTTGGAGCCATTGTAGCTGGTGGACAGGTGAGGAAAATGAAAATTAATACATAAAACAGTGAGAAATTTTCCATGGATTATTTAGTGTGTAATTTTGTCTTCTTATACTTTTATGAACCATACAAATATTTTTCTGAGTTTGTATCTTGTTTAAAGCGAATCTGTTATTTATTTTGTTATTTCCAAAAATCCTAAGTAATAATATTACTATTAACAATAAAATTACTGCATAAATAACCAGATTTAACAGTTTTGGTATTGTTAAGTTCTTAGTTGTGTTGACTTTCAGCTACCAATTATTATTTTAGAGTACAGAAGACAGTCAACCCTATTAACTCCACTTAGTAAAATCAAACTCTAGCAGTCTGATTTTCAAAGACGTAATGAATTTAGTCGCTTTTCTATTTACAGTTGCTAAATGCATAAATACAAGGTTTGTATGCATTTTTTTCCAACAAACCCAAGTTTTCTAATACTTAACAAGAAAGAAATTTTACTAATGTTTATTTCTTTATTTGAGCATCTTAAAAGCTGTTTGTGGTAACTGAGTATAACTACTAGTTGAAAACAGGATTATAGTTCAGAAAGAACACTCTACATATTTTCTTTGCCCATAGTTTAGATCAGAAGTTTCTAACACTTTTTGTACCACATACCCCTTTGGCAGTCTGGTAAAGCCTGTTAGAATGTTTTCAAATGCCTAAAATAAAATATACAAGACCACAAAGAAAACTAATTATAATGAAATGCAATTACTAAAGTATTAATAAAACACATTTTTAGCATAGTAATACATGCTTACTTATAAAAAGATACAGCAAGTCTAATAGCTACTGTAATTTCGAAGAAGAGTTGAGTTTGTTTCAAGATATTGCAACAACTGTAGTATATAAAAATGTATGGTAACAAAACCACAGTTATCGATAATGATACTTGTGTTTTCTCGTGGGCTACCTTGCCTTCTCATCTTCAACTCTAGTAGTAAATATAAGTGAATAGTAAATACTAAAATTATAACAGCTTCAATTAGGAGTTAATTTTTTTCCAAAAAAAGAAGTCCAGAGTTAGTCAGGTGGCTTTAGGGTCTTCAGGGACTTAGGTTCCTTCTGAATGTCAATTTGTTATTCTTACTATTATTTCTTGTGCTAAAAGATAGCTTCTGGACTCTGGCCATCCTGTCTGCATTTTGGGTATGAAGATGGAGGGGGAGATAAGAATGAGACAAATGGCATGTGCCAACTGTCTTTAAAAGCTAACACTCGTCTTTTTTATTTCATTTGCCAGACTCCATCAGATAACTGCTAAGAAGGCAAATGTGTCCAGATTTTTAAAAATTGATAAAACTTGCTTCCTTAGCCTCCTGGCAGCAGGGGAAGTTAGGAATTGTAATCTTTATTCCTGCTAGCCATATGTCCAGTAAAACAGGGATTCTGTTAGTAAGGAAGCAGAGGAGAATGGGTGTTGGGTAAGCCATCAGTAATTTCTTCCATAGTAACACTTGTTATTATTAATAACATTTATTATATCCACAATAATAAGTCTTAATGGCCTAACTGTTATTACTTCTACATTACTTTGCATAATTTTGTTCTGATTCATTATATATCAATTTAAGGCAATATAATTCATTTCCAATCTTAGTGTATCACCTTGAATAACTACCAGTTACCAATGTATCTATGTCATTTGGGATGGATTTGCTGTAACCACAGAAAACCTGAAATAAGCTTAACCAAACTGAGTTTTTTTTTTGTTTTGTTTTTAATTCTTACAGTTCTGGGCTGATAGAGCAGCTCAATGGTATCATCCAGAACTAAGGTCCTTTGATATTCTTGTTCTGTTCTCTGTAGCCTGCTACTTTAATTCTCAGGCTTGTTTCCTCATGATATAAAGGTGGCTCCAAGCATTGTGTTGCTTTCCAGGAAGGAAAAAGATGAAAAGGCCAAGAGCAAAGAATCCTTCTCTTTTTATTTGTAAAGTGATATCTTCATAGTCTACTGGCCATGGTTCTTTACCAGAACAATATCACATGGCTACCCTGTCTCCAAGGGAGGGTGGTAAGCAAGTTTTCTATGTGGGCAGATTGCTGTCTGAATAAAATCAGAATTCTATTAGTAGTAAGAAAATGAAGACTTAATATGCTTAAGTCACTAGAAGTGTCTGTAACGTATTTGTTTGAATTGTTTTACATGTTGATTTATTAACAGAAAATTGTCGGCAGATTTATTAAATTCTCTGTTTTTGCAAACATATAGAACTTTAGTTAGGTTGGGGTTTCATTTTCATTGTCTCTCATGTTTCAGAGGAATGCCTTGCAAGCAATTTCTCCAGCCACCATGGAAGTTCTTATGAGAGTTTTGGCAGATTGTGATTCCTGGGAGGATGGAAATCCTGAAGAAGTGGGTAGAAAGTTAGAACTTACTTTGAAGTGCCTCACAGAAGTTGTGCATATCCTTCTCACTAGCAGCTCTGACCAGCGTCAAGTGGAAACCAGCGCTCTTCTGGAGAGCTATTTTAAATTGCTAAACTCAGATCATTCAGCTTTATCTAGTCAAAGGAGGTCCAGACAGTGGGAAAGCCGGTTCATAGCTTTGCAGATCAAAATGTTGAGTAAGTATTACATAAACCTTATTATTGTACTCAATTTTCTCTGAGTTTTTTTGCTCTCATATTCCCCATTTTATTTGAAACAAAAGGCCCTTGTATAGAAATTGTTTAATTCAGCTATCATGTGATTGTTTAGATTTTTACTTCAAAATAATTAATACGGAGTTGATTTGTTTTTCTACAATACCTGCTTTAACAGTGACAAAATTGAATCTATATTCTTTTTTGAAAGTGTAATCCACTAAAAGCATCAATGTTAAAAAGAAAATCAGCTATCATTTTGGAATTTTAGGAAAATAAATTTTCAGAAAGTGTCATTTGTAGTTTCTAACCTATGGCGGAGTCACATATGATCAGTTTTGTATGTGCTTCTCTTACATCTTTGTAGACGTCTCTTCAGCATATGTCCTCCTAAATGGCCTCTTGTTTTGTTTCCGCAGAGCCTCTCTGTGTGAGTCTTGTTTCTCTTTCCCTCTCTTCGTGTAGATTGTTCTGTATCATTCTGTGCTTATATATCTCTGTCTCTCTGCAAGATTCTTCACCAATATATGTGATTTCTTATTGTATAAGAAGATGGCCAGTTAGATACAAATACTATTAGATTTTTAAAATCTAATGTAATCTGTTAAGATTGATAGATACAAATATTGCTGAGAATTCCTTCTTATAGAAATAAAATACTTTCACTAGCTGTCCTAGGAAATTCAGGTAAGTAAAAAAATAAAAGTTTTTTATATTCTACCACTCAGACATAACCAACATTAATGGTTTGTTGTATAGCTATAGAGACTTAAAAATTACATGCTCAGGGTGGGGTGTGTGTGGTGTCATGTCCAATTTAAAAATATTGTGCATCAAAATCGTGGTGAAATGATCCATTTCAACAGTGTTTCTTAGGAAGATAAGGTTCATCATACATAGTTTCTATTCTTTTATGTGTTATAACATGTCATGTTTTATAATTATTATGAATTGTAAGTTTATAAGAAAGTTGAAGTCTATATTCAATGGACTTCTTTTTTGTTACAAACTATCATATTACTTATGCTAGATGTCCCTTCAGTAAGAAATAAAAGCAAAGCATCATCACGAAAGGGTTAATTATCTAAGTTGCATTTTCATAATGGCGATATGTTAATTTTATAATGTATAAAGGATACTGTGTTGCTGTAACATAACTAGTGTTGCTTATTGATGGAAAGCTGGGAACCACTGTTGAGCGTTTTAATAGAAGTACAACTAAGTAAATCTCTAGGAAATATATATCACTCTTACATATAAAGGTCAAATATGTTTAATAGTAAAATGTAAAAATGTTTACTTTTCTTATCAAGTAATAAGTACAGATTTTGTTTTCTCCTCCCATTCCCTATATTTCCAAATTAATTTACATCTGTTTGTAAGCTTAAAAATCTAAATTAAAAATATGGCTATAGTAATTGTTTCTATGATCCCAAATTTTCCACTTTACAAATGGACAGTTTTGTTTTTATTTTCCTAGATACCATCACAGCCATGTTAGACTGCACAGATAGGCCTGTTTTGCAGGCCATTTTTCTAAACAGTAATTGCTTTGAACATCTCATACGACTACTACAGAACTGCAAGGTATTTTTCTATTATTATTGTCTTTGATTTTAAGGAGCTGTTACTTCATGTTTTGATTCAAATCTGAGCATATTATTACTAAACTTTTTTCTTTTTTCTTGTGGTAAATTACATATAAATAAAATTGACCATGTTAACCATTTTTAAGTGTATAGTTCAGTGGTATTAAATATATGTACACTGTTGTCTAACCACTACCACCATCCATTCCCCATAACTCTTTCTACCTTGTAAAACTGAAACTCTATACCCATTAAACAGCTCCATATTCTCTCCTTCCTGTAGTCTCTAGCAACCACTATTCTATTTTCTGTCTTTCTGATTTTTAACTAATCTGTACCCTCCTGTGAGTGGAACATGCAGTATTTGTCTTTTGTATTGGCTGATTTCATTTAGCATGTAATATCCTCAAGATTCATCCATGTTGTGTATTACAGAATATTTTTCCTTAATAAGTCCAAATAATATTCCATTGTATGTATATATCACATTTTGTTTATCCATTGATCTGTTGATGGACACTTGTGTTGATTCAACCTTTTGGCTATCATAGATTATACTGCTATGAACATGAATATATAAATATCTCTTTGAGACCCTGCCTTCAGTTATTTTGGGTATATATCCAGAAGGGGAATTGCTGGATCAAATGTTAGTTCTATTTTTAATCTCTTGAAAGCCACCTTTACTGTTTTCCATAGCAGCTGCACCAGTTTACATTTCTACCAACAGTGCACAAGGGTTTTACTTCTCGACATCGCATCAACACTTGTTATTTTCTTCTTTTTGATAATAGCCATCCTAATGGGGTGAAGTGTTATCTCATTATGATTTTGATTTGCCTTTCTATAATGATTAGTTATTTGAGCCTCTTTTCATGTACTTTTTGGCTATTTGTATATCTGCTTTGGAGAAAATCTATTCAAGTCCTTTGTATTTTTTTTAGTTGGGTTGTTTGTGTTTTGTTGTTGAGTTTCAAATTCTTTTTTATTATGCATTGCTCAAACTTGGTGTGAGCATTTAATGCATATAATATTTTGCTGTTGTTTCATTTACAGTTATTTCATTAGTATTTTTCTGTATTATTTTTTTAATATCTACAAAGTTTTGTTTTTAATATCTATAATATTTTTAAATCTATCATAATTTTGATTTTAATATTATATTAAGTGAATGTACTATAACTTAAGTATTTCCTATTGGTAGATACTTAATTTGCTTCCTGTTTTTGCTATTACATAACTCTTTCAAGTTTCATAGACTAGAACTTCTATTTCTAGTAGAATTACTAGATCAAAGGCATAAACTTGTCTTTTAAATTAGTGAACATTATATAAAAACAAGTTACAAATAATTGGGAAATACAGAAAAGTAGAAAAATAGAAATATTATTAAGGTTATTGTAACAAACTACCAACTTTCTTATAATTTCTCTTATTTTTTTCAAACACTTGTAGCAGCTTTATGTGTGAATACATAATAACTATTATCTCTGATTGTTATATTTCCATAAATTTCAAGATGGTATCAATTTTTTTAGACAGCTTCTTGAGAAACCTTTGAAAATAAAACTACTTCAAAGACCTTTTCTTTTTCTATTTGAGTTAGTCCTTTCATGGACTCCCTGCTGAAAAATACTAGGGGTTCATTCTGATTCTATGAGAATATTCCAGAATAAGGATTTTATAATCAGCTCCTTGAATCTTTCTACACTGTTAGGAGGGATATCCCTGAATGCATTTACATCACTATATTGCTTAACTTACATAAAATAGTAAAGAATGTATTGATGAAACAAATAGAAATTAATATGTATGATGTCGATGAACATCCTAAATTGCCACAGGAGAGTCAAGATGATTTACAAATCATTCTTGGGAAAGAAATCCTAGGTAGATAAAGTCAGCATAAGATAAATACAAAACCTTTGTTGTTAAAAAAAAGCACTTACAAAGGCAACTAAAGTGATAAAGACACAATCTCACATGTGTGGAGAACTTGCATGCCACACATTATTGAAGGGTAAATCACTAGGCTAAAATTAGTTACTACTAAAATTTATTAGTATGTGCTTTTCTTCAATATGTGAAACTCAGATATAATAAAAATCTCTGTCATATCATCATTAACAGCATCTTTTTAAAAAAGTATAAAGCTGTTTTGGCATAGCTTTCATGATGGTAAGGCTAGATTTCTTGTAATTTAGATTTGGAAACTTGTTTATAATCATAGTGTTTTAAAATTTAAATATTTGATGCTATTTATCACACTTTGTTTTGAAGCAGGAAATGCTAGAGAAGAAATTTGTTTCAGAGGGGAAAGCCAGGCTTTGGGACCCTGGAGCTCCCCACTGATAGTGATCTTTATTTCTGGAATATTCTAGTCAGAATCACTGTAGATTCATCAGAAGACATTAGAGAATTAAAAAATTAGGGGAAATCTTTGAAATAAACTGCCTAACTCTTTTATTGTATAAATAAAAAAATATGTCCTAAAAGGTTAAATAATTAACCCAAGGTTAACACTAATATAGCTGGAAGTAGGATTTCTTACCCAGGTATTCTGACCCTAAGTTCATTGCTGTATGTGGTTTTGTATTTGTGTTACTCTTACTTAAGTTCACTGTTTAGTCCAAAGAAAAAATGTTTTCTATGCATTAAGTAAAAGAACTGCAGATTTTATTAATAAACATATTTGATGGAGGTAGGTGATAGATTCCTCAATATATAAAAATGTTCGGAATCTTGTGAAACTTAAGTTCCCAAATCTATTATGGGATGCTACTGTTGTATGTGATTGATTTCTGTTTAAATTGTGTTTTGTCAGTAAGGAATGAATAATATATTCTACTTTAAATAGTAATACAGAATGAAGACAATTGTTTTTTAAATCTTCAGAGCCATTGTTAACTAAAGCTTAATGTAGCATAACAATTTATGACTTACATAGAAAACTTTAGGCTTTGCAGTGTCTGTACTTACTTTTTGTATGAGGTTCTCCCAACAGTTGGAGTATGCATTAATTTCATTAAGTGTTTGTGTAAAGCCTTCTGGGTTTGTCAAAATGAGTTTCATCATACTATAAAGTACTTATCTATCATACATTTATCTTTCCTGATAGGTGTGATGAACTGTAAACATTTAAGAGTTATTTCATTTTGCTATACTGCATTTTGGAAGGGTGATATGCTTTGATTAATGTAAAAAAATTTTTTTTAAACTGTCCAAGGATATTTGAATTACTGAGAAGAAAATAACAGCAGATTTCTAGTACCAAAGATAAGGATTCAACCATTACATTGACTTTAGCACTCTGCTTGGAGTTGAAATCATTTTTTTGAAAATATAGGCATTGAAGCATATTGTAAATATGTAAAGTTCCATTTGAGGATTTTAGTCATAGATTCTGGAAAACTCTTAGTAATATTGTGGTCTTGTTCATCTTCTTTATTTATTTTTCTTCTCCATATCTACCTGTTAAAACTAACTACAACAAAATTTTATCATCAAAACAGTCTTAGTAGGAATGAGAATTTATGAAAGGAGTGACTTGATTATATTATGAAAGGAGTAACTGAGGGGTGCTTTGTAGAAGAGTATTGGGAGTTGATAGAATGGTATAGTCAAAAGTCACACCTGCTTAATTCCTACATACTGCGTTTGTGACCTTGAGCAAGTTTCTTTTCATCTTTTTAAAAGAGATTTTTATTTAGATTCCAGAGCAACACATAATCAAAATATATTTTGGAGGAAATAAATATAAAAATATATTTTAATCATTTTGAAAAGTATATAAATATAATATTTAAATTTTAAAATTGTAAAATTCATATGTTTGCATATATATTTTAATGTGAATATATTTTCCTTTCCAAAATTGGAATACTACTGAATATTTTTATGTCCTGCTTTTAAGTGTGTTACATCATGAGTCTCCCTATAGACCATTGTATATTTTTCAAAACATTGTTTTTAATGATTGCAAATTTCAACCCAGCAGCTTTCCAGAGTATGGGTTTCAGAAGATCCTTGTAGGTAATCTGCAAAATCTAATCCTAACAACATTTCTCTTCGAGGCTAATTTTCTTCATAAACTTTAACCAAAACATTATCATAACAGTGAATGCAAAAGCATATATGTGGGTTCATCTGTCTTCTATTAAGTCAGACATTTAAAGAGATTTGCAAAAATGCAAAAGCAGTGCCATCCTCACTAAGGTATATTTGGAAAATATAGTTATTTTTCATGAAAATATATTATTTATGTCAGCATGTAATGGGTCTATTGCTATTTTTTGAATAAATAAACAAGTATTTAAAAATGTCTTAAATTTTATTTTCTGATATGGTAAATATTGGTAGATGTGATCCATATAAACAAAAGTTCCTTGGGGTTCTCAATTTTTAAGAGTGTTAAGGGCCCATGAGACTATAAAGTCTGAGAACTTCTGTTTCAGTCTATCAGTGAACTATAGTTTATTTATTTTACTATTGTTGGATATTTGGGGATTTCTTATTTTTTGCTATTGAAAATAAAGCTGAAGTGAGCATCTCTGTTCTGAAACTTTGGTATGAGTTTCTGACTATTTCATAGGGTAGATTTCTAGAACTACAGTTACTGATATAAAGACTAAGAACTGTTTTTAAGATTCTTGATATGGATTGTTTTCTGGGAAGACTTTACTCACTTTTGCTTTCATCACTTTTGAGCATTCCTGTGTCCTAGTACTATGTTTAAAATATTTGCTGATAATAATATCAACTTTCATTTATTAAGCCCTTGTTATGTACCAGATACTATGCTAATAACCAAGCATGAATTATCTCATTTACTCTGCACACGTATTTAATGAGATATTATTTTCATTTTTGAGAAAACACGCTCAAGGGAAGTTAAGTAGTTTTCCCTAAAACCAGACAGCTAATAAGTAGTGAAATCAAGGTTCAAATCCAGGCTTCTGATTCCCAAGCCTATATTGTATGCACTAATCTATTTTTTAAGTTCAGCTTTCTTTGTGTATATTCTTTTATACCATATCATATCATATCATATCATATCATATCATATCATATCATATCATATCATATCATAACTTTATCCACTTTATTTTATATTATGTTATTTCAGCATATGCTTAGGCTGCTGTTTTCTCATTTCTGAAATGATAGGAAATACTAAGGATTTCCTTTTTAGGATGCCTTTGATAAATTCCTTTATAAATCTTTCATTCCCTTTTCACTCTCATTTGAATAATCTTTCTTTTTGTCCAAACTGTGACTGAGATCTTTTGGGATGCTGTTTTATATACTTAAACAAAAATACTTACTTCTTTTCTTTCTTTCAGAAGAGGGCAGTCACCATGTATGTCAGAGATAATCCTAATTCCCCTTTCTAGTATATGAATTAATATAAACAGCCAATTCTCAGTCATTTTGAGAACACTATTACAGAATGTTTAACAAAATGTGTGGTTAGATAAATTTGGGAAATGCTGCACACTGACCTCCTTTGTCAAAGCACACATTAACGTATTTGAGACTCTGAAAAATATTTCCAGAAAGAAACCTTATTAAAGTCAGTTTAAATAGCACTTAAGAAACACTTGGCTTCAGAACCCTTACTGTCTATTTACTACAGTATTTTTAGCTTGTCTCAGTAGCACATTTCCCTCTTTTCTGTGAGGCATTTTCTGCTGATTCTTTAAGAATTTAAAATATTAACTAATTTAATTATTACTGTTGTTTCTTATTTTAGTAACTGTGAGTTCCAAGAGAGAAATAACTAATGTTAGTTTGTAATCCAAAAGTGAGTAGTTGATTGTCCATTTAAAAGCAGTATATACAAATGGATTCTTGGATTTATTTTCAAGAGACATGGAAATCCATTGAAGCTTCATTTCTATTTATAGGTAACAGTTTAATGTTCTTCATTATTCTTATCTCTGTTTTTAACAGCTATTTTTAAATGCTAACAATAAGGTGGCAGACAAGAATGAGAAAGACCTTGCCAACAAATTACTGACAGAAATGAATGAGGACCAGGTATCTGCAAAGTCTGCATCTTGCTTCAGCTGAAGTCCAAAATCAGTCAATGGGAGCAACTATTCCTGTACTTTTCTTATGTCTTAAAATACACAAACATTATCTAATTTCAATCTTCATTAATTACTTTTGAAATTAAGTTAAAATAAAAATTGCTTTCATCCAAAAGATAAATCAGTTGAAATCTTGGTGGTTGATGTAATCCATCAAGAGTATCCCACCCACGTGTTTTTCTTGACAGTTTGAGGAGATATAAAGTACAGGAATGGGATCCCAACATTAGTGCTGTCCACCTGGTGGTGACTTCATATTTTGGGGGCTTCTTTTTCTAAGCATTGTGGTGTACTGGGACTTTAGGGCTTTGTTTGTGAATATGTATGGTCAGTTTTAATTCTTGATTCTTTGCTTCTTGTTGACAAATAATGATTATAATTCAATGGACAACCTGAATCTTGGAGGAAGGGAAGAAGATGCTGAACTCTTTGAGTTTAATTTAGCATAAAACTTAACATTTTTCTTTTCTAAAAATTCATCTCTATATGGTTATAAGGCAGAAATATGCAACCTATGTTGCTTTTCACAATACATTACATTATAGGCAAAAACTACTTACAAAAATTGCATTTTTTTCCCTAAAATGTTTGGAAGCGTACATGATATCTTTTATTAACATTATCTTAATGTCCAGGATTATAAACAGAGCTGTGGTTAAAAAGAGACATGATAATCTATTATTTTCTATTCTGTATGTGAAATATGAATTACAGAATACCATCTTATATTTCTCAATAAGTGTTAGTCCCTCTTAAAGCCATCTTATACAGACTAATACTACTTAAAATAGCATTCTTAGAGGTTTGTTAATATTCCTAATTGTAGGATGCTTAGTCCTCTTTGTTAAAGCCTAGGATAGCTCTTTGAAATTCTATATGTAAAACTTATAGTGCATATTATATGTTTCTTTACATATGTAATACATATATTTTATGTAATAATAAACAACAAAAATTAAGATACCAGTTTAAACAGAGAAGACAAGTAGTGATTCTATAGCATCTTACTATGCTGATGGACAGTGACTGTAATGGGGTATGTGGTGGGGACTTGATAATAGGGGGAGTCTAGTAACCATAATGTTGTTCATGTAATTGTACATTAATGATAGCAAAAAGAAAAAAAAAGATAACAGTTTAAATAACTTGCCTGAAAGTGATAGAGCTTAGTTTAAAACAGGAAAGATCTAATCTGTTCCCTTTTACTCAAAATCTAATGGGAGGGAAAGAGGAAAATGCTATTTCTGGAGTGACTAAGTCATAATGTAGTTGACCCTTGAAGAACATGAGTTTGAACTGTGTGGGTCCACTTACATGTAGATTCTTTTCCAATAAATACATTGGAAAAATTTTTGGAGATTTATGACAATTAAAAAAATATTTCCTTTTCTCCAGCTTATTTTATTGTAGAAATATAATACATATACATAATACCTGTTAATTGACTGTTTTTGCTATCAGTAAGGCTTCCAGTCAACTGTAGGCTCTTAGTAGTAACTACTAAGTTTGGGGGGAGTTAAAAATTATACAGGGGTTTTTGAATGTGCAGGGGTCAGCACTCCCAACTCCCTGATTGTTCAAGGTAATATATACCTGAAAACAGATTTCCAGGACTGTTAGTTTTCACAACTTTCTAGTCTTGCTTTAATGGTTGACTAAGCCTGATGATACAACAGTCATGTTCAGTTTTTTAATATTGTTGATGTTACAATTTGTTTTTGTATTTTTGCTATAATATACACTGCCCTGAAGTTTGACATATGTCTTCTTTATGATGAAGCTTTAAACAGAAATAGACAAATGGAGATGATTCTTATTTTTTTGCTTCAACTTTTAGCATTAAGAATTGCCCCTCAAAAACATGACAGTGCTGAACACATAAATATTTCATTTTCTGTTTCTGCCTCAAATTCTGCATTTTATGTAAAAGTAAATAAAACTTATTGTTTGCAAGTGTGATTGGTATATATACTTATGTATATACATACTGTTTCAATTATAATACAGGCATGTGGAGACTAAGTAGACAAGATATTTTAGACATTTTATTATACATGCTAAGATGTTTAAATCTAGGAAGTTCAAGTGTATGTTTAAAGGAAAATTAAATAGGATTTCCAATGATAGACCTCCCTCCCTTCCTCTGGAGATTGTCCATTATTGTTAAAAAGCATGTTTTAACCTTGGTGGGGTTTTTTTCCCTAAAATGTTTTAATGTGATGAGTGAATGTAGCCTTATCCTTCTTGACACGTGGCTTATTTTCTGTCAAGTAGGTAGCTTTTCTTGCAGGTTATGTTTCAGAAATCCATTTCATTGGAAGAGGAATGCATTGCATGTTAAGTAATTATTTTTTCAGGTTTTCAGAACAAAGGTTTCCTAACTGAATACAAATCTTGAACACATTTGTTAATTTCTTGTTGTTTTTTCGCCTCTGATAGATGTTGCAGGGACAATTGGATTGTTTGGCTGTTTCAACCATTCAGGCTTTGACAGCAGTAATGAACAAATCTCCAGCTGCTAAGGTGAAACATATATCCCTAAGCTCGAAAATGTTATTTAATATATATCAGTTTTCACTATATATTCCCAAAGTATGTTTGAAAGTGTGTAACACATATGGTTTTATGCCTGATATGGAGTAGTTCACAAAATATCTCCTGAGTATAGGAATCATTTTGCTGATAATTTTAAAGACAAATACCTATGGGCACTGCTTTTGAATTACATAAGACATTGATGACTGAACAGCAAGCTAATAGAGATTTACAGTGTAGCTCAATGAATGGGAAGACAGTACTGGTGTTGAAATGTTGAAGTGATTGTTTTAAGTGATTCTGTGGTTACTGTGTTTAAAGCATTAAATTTATATCATAGTTCTTCTTATTTAATAAAATAATTACTCTTTCACTTTTCGGTCAGTTTACTACAGCTTAGAATATAAACATTTTCTATGTGAATAGTCCTATCAGTTTAGGACTTGTTTTCCCAGATGGCCATGGAAATTTTGCTTCTTTATTTGTAGTCACTAACCTTCAGAATTTTGTTTCCCTTCTCATTCACTGCCTCTGACTGTCCTGCTGTCCTCTTATGCTGATTTTGTGCTGGTAGTTTCTTCACTGAGTAGTTTTAAGGATTAGTGAGATCATTTGAGTAAAGGGAAAAAGCAAGCATAGTGCCAGGCACATGGTACGTGCTTAATAAATGTTTGTCTCTCTTATTATTTTACCATTTTACCTTCTTATCCACTGCCTCTAATGTATTTCATGCCTTATCATTCTAGTACCAGAAATGAATGAATAAATTCTTGTTTCCTAAGCCATGCCTTCATTGGTTTTTGTTAGGAGACACTAAGTTTTGCCCTGTAAATGTTGCTGTATATAACTTATGGTTAGATTCCTACTGAATAGGTTTTCACAACTTTTACAGGTTGGTTTGGGAATCTAATATGCATTTATAATAGTTTATGTAAGGAAAAAAATCATTTTAAGTTCTGAGTAATTGATTTATGAGTGTAATAGCTGCTTGTTCTCACTCCATTATGAAATTCTAACATGAAATGATGTTCAAGTCTTTTTGAAATAATTTTTTTTAACTATGTAATGCCTTGCATGGCTTAAAATTCAAAAGGTTATTTTTAAAATGCCCTCTGAAAAAAGATTTTCTTTCTACTCTTGGCCCACAGGCAACTAGTTCCTTTCTCAGAAATAACCAGTCTTACTCATTTTGTTTAAATCTTTTGATTCAAAAATGATAATATAAATTTTCTCCTAATTTACTGGACCAATTTAGTATTGCTAGGTTTTTTGGCTGTCTTTGTATTTTACTTGATGGCTTTGTGTTCCTACAAGTTCAAATATACATGGGACTTAGACCTTACCAAAGTGAACTCAATGTTTCAGATAATTCAGGCCATTTAGATAGAAATTGCAGAGTGAAAACTGTATCCACTTTTTTTTTCTGGTCACTACTCAAAATTACCAGGACTCTTTAATCTAGATCTTTGAAGCTGCTTTCTGACTCCTGTTACCCCTAAAGTCTCCACATTTTTTTCTCCATTTTTGTTTTGACTTCATGTAATACTATACTAATTATGAATCAAGTGAAGAAAATAAAGGCAGTGACTTGTGCCCTAATCTATAAGTAATATAATAATTTTATAATATATAATTATTGCTGATTTCATTTATTTTGGTAGATTCTTGTCACATTGTATATCAGAAGATATATGGAATCTATTTTAAGATGAAGATATGATTTAACAAAAGACAAGTATTGAATTCATACCCTTTTAAATATTGAGTTGATTAACCTAAATGGGTATTATTTTAAATAATACAAGTATACATTTTAAATATTCCAGCAAATTCAGTCTTTGAAAAATGTGCTTTGATTCTTTTATTACCCCTTCTCTAGGAAGTATTTAAAGAAAGAATTGGTTATACCCATATGTTTGAAGTATTAAAATCCCTGGGTCAGCCACCACTGGAACTACTTAAAGAACTTATGAATATGGTGAGTTTTGCAGCTTTATTAAATGAAGTTCCATTATCTCCATATCAAAGATGGCTACTAACCTTTTTTTGTCTTTTGTATTACTTTACAGGCTATAGAGGGTGACCACACTTCAGTTGGGATTTTGGGGATTAGTAATGTCCAGCCTCTCTTGCTTCTTATCCAGTGGCTTCCAGAGCTAGAATCCCATGAGCTGCAAATCTTCATTTCTGATTGGCTGAAAAGAATTTGTTGTATTAATAGGCAAAGTCGAACTACTTGTGTCAATGCAAATATGGGAATTCGAATCATTGAAACCCTTGATTTCCATTCTTACCTTCATCGAACTTGTGCTGAGAACTTGATTGCACTTCATGGATCCTTGGGGAGTCAGTCAGTGAGCTCAGAAGAAATCCGTCGACTACTAAGATTGCTGAGAGTGGATGAATCTGAGTATATTCACCCTTACACCACTCCTGTGACTCGAGCAATCCTGACAATGGCCCGAAAGCAAAGTTTAGAGAGCGCACTTCAGTATTTTAATTTGTCACATAGTATGACAGGAATTTCTGTGCCTTCCATACAGAAATGGCCAGGGTCTGCGTTTTCTTTCAGTGCTTGGTTTTGCTTAGATCAGGGTCAGTTGACTCTTGGCAACGCTAACAAAGGAGGAAAAAGAAAACAATTGTACAGGTACTGGTACAAGTTATGGAATATAAGTGAATACTGTCAGAACAATATATGCTGTGATTCTTAAACAGGAAAAACCTTTTCTGATCATCTGATTTTTATTTAAAAATTTTTTTTCAGAACAAAGCATATTGTTATCTTTTATCAAACAAAATATTTGCTCTTTTTTTCTGAGGGGATTTATTTTTTTATCGGAGTTGACATACATTATATTGGTTTCAAGTATACAACACAGTGATTCAGAAATTACACACATTATTAAATCCTCACCCCAAGCATCTACTTCTTAAATGTACAATATCTGAAGCTTCTTCATCATTGTGTACACAGTTTAGTTGTAAGTGCTTTATTGCTTTCATAATATTAATTACATATCTCACATGTTTTGCTCATAAGTTCTGAGGCAAGTTTGGAAACAAAGTTTCTTCTTAAAAGTGTAAAAGTGGAGAAAAAGGGAATAATAAAATTGAAAATGAATGGTGAGTGACCTCTGTGTTCCACTGAAGGTGCTATATATGAAGTATCAGAAAACCTATGTGTATGTACATCCAAACTTAGTTACTTAAGTAACTAATAATTTTTAATACACCTGGTGATTTTTAGAACTTTATTCATATTTTCTGAATCTTATTTGAAAGAACTTTGAAGATTTGAAAGTTTAAAATTTTACTGTTGTTTGCTATTAGAATTACACTTCTGTAGTTACCTTTTATAATTAACTAAACTCTTACACCCAAAAATGACTTAAAAATTATCTTTGAAGCAAGATTAGAATGTAAGCCATTAGATAGCATTGTTGATAAAGATACTCCTGATGACATGGTTTTGTGTATTTCAGTGATGGTAAAACTGGACACCTGACCTCAAAAGTTATGATAATACATATTTTTGTTAGCTTTTTTACAGGAAGTGGCATGGGTTTTGAAGCTTTTATTACCCATTCAGGCATATTGGTTGTGGCAGTGTGCACAAAACGAGAATATGCTACAGTTATGCTTCCTGACTACAGTTTCTGTGATTCCCTCTGGGTAAGGCTTTAGGGTATTACATTTAACTACTTAATTCTTTTCTTTAAAAACATATATTCGGTGCATGTATATCAGGAGTTGTCATCTGCTTTTTCAGGTTCTTTAGTTTTCACTTTAAAATTGTATTCATATTGAAGTTAATCTATAAGGAGATTAATGCTGTTTATCATTGTCATTTTAAATTCAGTTAATAATCATTGTTTTTCTAAAAAATTCAAATGAAATATCTCATTTTCTAGAATCAATTTCATTTTGAAATTCAATTTAAAATAAGAACATAAATTAAGAATAGTGAATTTCTGTTACTTTTCTTAAAATATAAAATGCTTCTTATTAGAAATATTGATTCTGAAAATACTCATAGACTTGGGAAATGCAGAAAATGTGCTGTTGCAGTTGTGTATAAGTTTTCTAGAATAGATATAAGTGCTGTTATAATACTTCTGAAAAAAATTGTTATTCACTTTAAGAACATCATTTTAACCAGCATTTAATTAACTTTAATCTTAATGTTCTGTTCACACAAACTAGTTATAGAATAATATTCTGCAAATATTTGTCATTCCAGAGACTTAATGTAATTTTAGTCTTTTAAATGCATGTTTTATTTTAACAGCACAATATAACTATTGTCCACATGCCTGGAAAAAGGCCCTTTGGTCAGAGCTTTGTCTATATCTACGACAATGGACAGCAGAAGGTGTCTGCCCCTCTCAGATTTCCTGCCATGAATGAAGTAAGCACATCTAACTGACTCTTTGTGGGACCAATTGATTAATATCTCATTAAATTTTTCAGTTTAATGTAGAACATTCTGTTTATTCTAGATATGTGCCCATAAATTTTAAAGTGTTTTCTATATACTAGGAAATGGTAAGTTAATATTTAAGTCTGTTAGCCTATCATTAGATGAAGTCAGACAACATGTAATAAAAAACAACTCAAGGAAGAAACATGTAATTAATGTCTAGAGAAAAGACATGTAGCAGAAAGCCAAAGAAATTGAATAGAACAAAGCAAAGGAGCATTTAATAAAGCCCACCAAGTACTTAGAGACTATTGTGATGGGCTCTTTTCCATCTCCATTGAGTTTGAAACAATAATGAAGTAACTGTAAACCTTTACATCGTAGTCAGGTGTAAGGTAAGATTTATTTACTGAGGTGACTCTTAACGAACATTAGTGTAAAAGTTCTTTGAGAATTTTTGGTAAATTTGAAAGAGCCTTTTCTGAAGATAGTGGAATAGATTAATTCCTAAGTCCTTCTGGGACTGTCCTAGTCCTTCTTGACCTTACATATTTTAAGGGAGAAAAATAGTTTTCTCTCTTTTAAAATATAGTAAAGTTATTACATTAAAAAAAATTCAAACTCAATAAAAAGTCAAGATTTACAGAGAGATATAATGTGAGTTGTAAAAGTAATGCATCCAAACCCCATAGGCTAACAGGAACATCTGTAATGATTTCTTATATACACACACACATCCACACATTATGATCCATTCTCAATTGTATGTACTGTTTTATTGTAAATATGAAGATAGAGAAGTAATTAAAATCATGTAATTTATTTTGTTTGTATCTTATTTTTAGCCTTTTATCTCCTGCTGCATTGGTTCAGCTGGGCAAAGAACCACCACTCCTCCACCATCACAAATCCCAGATCCACCTTTTTCTTCTCCCATTACCCCTCATCGGACATCGTTTGGTGGAATTCTGTCATCAGTCTCCTGGGGAGGAGCAACTGAAAAATCAAAACTGATTACCAAATTGATATCAGCTGGAACCCAAGACAGTGAATGGGGATGTCCCACATCTCTGGAGGGTCAGCTAGGGTCTGTTACCATATTCTATGAAGCACTACAGCCTCTTCAGGTGAAGGGATTATATTTAGTAGGTGAGTATGTATGGTCATATTGTTTACTTATATAGTTTTTCATTTGCCTGAATATATTCTGAAGAGTATGTTCATATTTGTAATTGAAGCTGAAAGGGATGAAAAAGCCACCATGTCCCATACTTTTTTCCCATTCAGCTTTATTGGGGTACTGACATACAACATACAGCAGTTTAAGGTGTAAGTTGTTACATGTATATGTTGCAAAATGATTACCACAATAAGCATCGTTAGCTCTTCCATCTCCTCACATAAAAACAATTTTTTTGTGTGTTGTGATAACATTTAAGATCTTTTCTATTAACAGTTTCCTAGTATATGATATAGTATGGTTAATTGTAGTACACCATGCTGTTTTGGTAGGCATAAATAAAGCAAACCTTTGGGAAATATTTCAAGTATCATCCATAATACTGTCAGTATTAGTGTGTTAGAACTGCCATAACAAAATAACAAAGACTGGGTGGCTTAAACACTATTTATTTTCTTATAATTCTAGAAGCTTGAATTCCAAGATCAGATTTCCACTAGGGTCAGTTTCTGGTGAGGATTTTCTCCCTGGCTTATAGATGGCTATCTTCTCCCTGTGTCCTCAGATGGCATCTCTCCTCTAGTTGTGTGCAAAGAGAGGTATCTCTGGTGTCTCTTCTTTTACAGGTGATCCTACTAGCATCATGTAACCTTAATTTTAATTCTCTCCTTTAAGGCCCTGTCTCCAAATACAGTCACATTGTGAGTTACAGCTTCAATATCTGAATTTTTTTTTTTGAGATGGGGACATAATTCATTCCATAATACTGCCAGTACTTTTGAGAGATTTTTAAAAAATTGATGAAACAAAATATAAGCCTGTGTTCATAAGAAATCACATGACTCATTCCAAAATCATGAGAGTCTTGTTTTAAATTTTATCATTTTGATAGTTTATATTAATAGATCTGAAGAATTCAGAAAAGTAGTAGAGTTAGGAGACCTTGGGTAAGATTACAACCGTTTTTGTTTTGGCGTTTTCTTTTTCTTTTGGCTATGATTTTAAAGATATACTCTAATTGTTACTGGATCATAACTGTTTCCAAAATTGTATCTAAATTCTAGTGAGATGTTCAGGAGTTAAGCCTTTAAGTAGTTGTGTATATTAATTCTTCAGAAAACTATTTGTCACATATGTCTTTTTTAGATTATAGTTGATTCTTGAACAACACAGATTTGAACTGCATGGGTCCACTTATATGTGGATTTTTTCCAGTAAATATATTGGAAATGTTTTTGGAGATTTGCAGTAGTTTGGAAAAACATGTTATTTCGTTTTTTTTTTCCTTTATTGAAGTATGCACTTGACGTATACCCTATTGAAGTATACACTTGCCAACCACTTGTTATTTCTTGTCTTTTGGATCGTAGCCATTGTGACTGGCAGGAGGTGGTAACTCATTGTGGATTTGATTTGCATTTCCCTTGTGATTAGTGATGTTGAGCATCTTTCATGGGCCTATTAGCCATCTGTATGTCTTCTTTGGAAAAATGTCTATTCAGGTCCTCCGCCCGTTTTTTAATCAGGTTACTTTTTGGTGTTGAGTTGTATGAATTCTCTATATATTTTGGATATTATCCCTTTGTCAAATATATCTTTGCAATTTTTCTCTCCCCTAGAGTTGGTTGGTTTTTTTGTTTTGTTGATGGTTTCCTTTGCTGGGCAGCAGCCTTTTGGGTTGATGTAGTCCCACTTGTTTATTTTTGCTTTTGTTTCCCTGAAAAAACATTTTCTTTTCTCTGGCTTACTTTATTGTAAGGATTTAGGATATACTACATATACAAAATTTGTGTTAATTGACTGTTTATGTTATCAGTAAGGCTTCCAGTCAACAATAGGCTATTAGTAGTTAAGTTTTGGGGGAGTTAAAAGTTACACAGATTTTTGACTGTGGGAGGGAGAGGATTGGTCAATGACCCTAATGCTTGCATTGCTAAAGGATCAACTGTACATGAGTGTTTTGAGATAAATGGCAATGTCCAAAGTTTCAAAGTTTATTTAAGAACCTTACACTTTCAAACTCACCAAAAGTATTTGAAGATGATCTATAATCTCAATAAATTCCAATTTAATAAGTCATATAGTATAGACATTTACTTTGGATTTTGTTCTTATAATTCTTCCTACTATAATTTATTATAAATAATATTTGTTATATAGTCTTCATAACGATCTTTTTAATGGCCACATAATATTTCATTGTATTCATACTACATTATTTACTTAGGTTGTTTATAATTTTTAATATTGGTATAAAATTCAAATATTAAATATGAGCTGTTATACTTAGTTTTTATTTCTTATTTTGGTGGCTTTACTTATAATAAGTTCCCAAGATAAATATTCACAGGGTGTGAATACTTTGTGACTCTCCGTATATGTTGCCTAATTAGTTTCCAGAAGGGATACACCAATTCATAGTACCTACAGGTAATACCTAAGTACACAAGTTTTGTCACAGATTCATTCAGGTGGAATGGTCAGTATTGTTTTCTCCATTTTTTTAAATGTAAAATGAAACTTTTGATTCATTTCTTTGATTTTTTTTTTCTTTTAGGAAAGTCAAGAATTTTTTTCCTAATTATTTACTATTCTGCTTCTGTGAAATCTGTTCACATTATTGATAGATTATTTTGCTATTTTATCTTAAATTTGAATTGGTTTACATTAAATAAATTAATACACAAACTTTGTTATATTTAATGTTAGCTTTTTAATACTATGCAAAATTTCCTTTTTATAGTGGAAATTGAACCACACCCCAACTTTTCTAGGTTTTGGATAAATTGGAGGTGATATAAAAATAAAATACCTTTTCGCTAATATGTTTTAACTGTGTTATTTGCGTAGCTTGAAACAGCTTAATTTTAAGTTTTGCTCTGATTACACAGAACCAAGGAGGCCATATGTATTCAATGATATGTGTGTATATGTGTGTATAAATAATTTTCAGGTCCAAACTGTTTAAGCCCTTGGAAGTTTCAAGAGTCTGACATGGCTGACCTGCCTGGTAACGTCCTTCTTCACTACACTGCAAAGGTTAGAGTAAATGCATGGATTGTGCATCTAGTTGTTAACTATGCTCTGGACTAAGATTGTTTTTTTTATTCTTTTCATCATTTCAGTAGGTATTGAGGAAGAGCTTGAATTGCCATTTTAAAATATATTAATTTTTCGAAGGAATATGATGCAGTAAAAATTAAGGTGCACCTCTCAGCTAGGATTCAGATGTTATCATTATGCCATACCAATAGTTTGAATGGGAATAATTTTAGTGAGAGTTTGTACTAATGAATATTCTCCAGTAAATGAATCATTTTATATTTGTATTATTCTACTTTATTGAGAGGAGATGTGAAACAGAATTATGCTCAACATTTTCTCATTTTTGAAAATGTGATGCTAGCAAGAAAACAAAAAATTGAAATGTTTTTTTTTTCTGTTTTGAGAAAAAAGAAACTATCTTACAAGTATAGCCTGTCTAGCCCTTTTTTCTTCAAGGGCCTATCTAGTGAAAGCAATTGAAGTCAGCAAGAGCTGAAGGAAAGATCAAAGGAGAACTGGGAGGAATAAAAGGGAGTTGTGGCATAAACAACAGTATCAGTTACCTTCAGTATACTCAATTTTACATTGACCCAGAAAATACATTTATTGTGTGAGATTATACACTACAGAATTTTCTTTCTGGTTTACCCAGCTAATAAATGGTCATAATTTATTACTTTGAATACTTTGTGTCCTATTATTTGTATTTTTCCCTAACTTTTTATTTTGATTAATTTCAAACTAGGGGGAAGTTATAAGAATGGTAAAAGGAAATACTGTATATTCTGCACCTAAATTCACCAGTTATTAACATTTTGCCACATTTGTGAACTTTTCTCAAATCATTTGTGAAATATGTTGACATAGTTATCAAGATACTTTACCCCTAAATATTTCTACATAATCTTAACCTATGTAAGAAAATTATCTATAGTTATTATATAACCCACATTCAGATTTTCCCAGTTTTCCCAAAAATATTTCCTTTGAGCCTTGTAAAAATTCAATCGTGAACCTATTTGAAGTTCATGCATAGCATTTGTTATATATAATGTCTCTTGAGTCTCTTATTTTTTGTTTCTTTGCTTTTTGTATTACTAACTTTTACCGAAGATATATGTTTGTTCACTATACTAGATTTTCTGTCATTTCTTTGCAGGGACTTTATCTTATACTTATTCATTTCAGTTATCTAGTATAGGTAGATAGGAAATAATTGAACTTAATCTCACTGATATATTCGGTGGCATGCTCTAGACATGGTAGCTATCTGGGTCTTTTGTCATTAAGGTCATATTTTCTTTTCAAAGTAACTGAGTTTGATAACATTAAGGTTGAATTTTTACTATTGAAAGTAAAAATTCTGTAATATTAAAAAAATAGCTATTAATGTTTTCCCTCAAGAAACCCAGTATGACAAATATACACAATAAAACAGTTTATTGGAGGAATATTTCTTAAAACTTGTGATATATCACGATATCAGGATTCTGTGGTCAAATAAGTTTGGGCGAATGTTGTATTCTCTATATCGCTCTTGGAGATGGATGATACACTTGAAAAATCTTGTTATTAAAACTAGTTTACTTTTTTTATCCTATTTTTTCACCAGTTATTTGGGCATAGAACACAGTATGTTATTTATCTCTTATTGACAAATGCTAGTTTAGAAAAAGCTGCTCTAGAGGCTTTTTTGACAGACAGCAGTTTCTCATTTTTGTACTCATTTGTAGGAGGTGTCTACCCATTTGTTTACAGATCTTTTAGTGTCTTCTTTGTGCTAAAAATTGGCCTGAACCTTTAGGATACAGAGCTGAATAAATTACTTTCTATGGCTTTAAGAAACATACAATCTAAAGTAAAGTAAATATCTAAAAAAGTAAGTGTAATATAATTTTATGAGCACTTTTTTTTTAGCTACCAATTAGTGGGTGTTTGCAGTATACTAAGCACTGTGCTAAAGCTTTACATTTTTTATTTCATTTAATTTTCACAAATAGTGAAATAAGACTATTTCACAAATAGTCTTAAGGAGTATATGGTATTATCTATATCTTTTAAGCTCTAATTTTCTGAGGCTGAGTAAGGATAAATAACTTGCCTAACATCATAATTCTAGTGAATGGTAATGCTGGAGTTAGGACCCAGTCTGTTTAAAGCGTATCCTTAAACACTATATAAATATTTCTGTGTTGAAATTATGTTCAAAATACAGTGAGGGTACAAAGGAGAGTGGCTGGTTCTTCTAGGAGGCTAGAAGATTATAGAAAATATGGTTTTATTTGCATTTTAAAATACAAAGTTGAGGAGGGATGTGCCAGGTACAGCAAAAAGCACTTAGAAAGACATTGACTATAAAATCAGGTTCTATATGTATTTGAGTACAGGGCATTAAGCAAGCAGGAAGAGGAGATGGCAGGAAATGAGATTGGAGTGCAAGTGGAGTCTAGATCATAGCAAACTTCCCATGCAAGGCTAAATAGTAGGCAATGGATAGGATTTTAAGCAGAAGAGGAGTATGATCAGGTTTGCATTTTAGAAAAAGGTTTCAAGCTGCAGTGTGAAAATTGGGTTGGAGGGATACGAGACTGGAGGGCGTCATACCATTACGAGATTTATTGTATGAGGAGCGCTCATAGATACACAATACCCAAATCAAGGTAGTAACAAGAGAGCCATTTCTATCTCTGAGACTGATGTAATTGAGTTAAATCTAAACTCAGTTTACATTTGTTTTATTAAAGCAGTTTTTCTCAGTTGCCCTAAGAGGACAGAAACAGCTACATCATCTGTGCTAAAATATGTAGATTTCCTTATTTTCTTTCAGAATGGGGATAAGATTCAAGGATGCATCATTACCTGTAAATTCACAGATTGAACGTAAAGTTACATGCTTTGTGATCCTTTATGGAAAGTTCAGATAACTTCAACAATTTCTAGAAATGCAGACTGCACTCTTAATATGAATGTAACCAGAAATGTCAGTCTGTGAGATGAAGGAAAACAGTGTCTTATGCTGGGGATTGGATTTTTGTATCGTGATATATTCTTCTGTTCTGATTTCTTTAACTCACATTTTAAGCACACATTTTATGTGTATCAGGAAATTGTGGCTAGGGAAATACTAATGGAAATAAAAAATTGAATTTTTTGAAAAGTCAAAAACCTGTTTGTGTATACTGGTTTAAAAGAGAAAAAAGTTTAAACTGTGTGATTGATGACTAAGTTCTAGCTATAGCTCACCTGTCAGATGACAAGCAGCAGAGATCTGCTTTTGGTGAATGAGTGCTTTAGAATCTAGGCTCTGATTCTCTTAAGAGACAGAATAGTAATACTAAACTTACTTTTAGTTATCATTGACTGTGCTATATACCTTTTTAAGTTATAGTGAAATACTGCAGTGTAATTAAGCTTTTGTTTTATCCTCATGCCTAGCTTTGCCGTACTTTTCTTTTATTCATAGGCTTGCAAAAATTCAATCTGTCTTGATTTATCTACTAATTGTTTGCATGGAAGATTAACAGGAAACAAAGTAGTGAATTGGGACATTAAGGTAAGCTAATGATGGGCAACATATTATATAAATTTACTGTTTCTTTTAAAGAGTTTATCTTCTAAGCACCACCAGATTGATCTGAATAATAGATTTCAGTTAAGATGTTTGTGGGCAAGAAACACAATTTGAAGGATAAATAAGTAGTTGAATGACTGATTTGCTTGAAAGTTATCATCTTAAGCTATGCCATGAGCCTACAGTTTCCATGAGAAAGTTATACTGCCTTGGTCCATTGCTCCACTTTTAAGTATTTAATCTGTAAAACTATGAGTTTTCAACCCTTCCTGACCTTCAAGACTTCATTGATGATACTTTTTCTCCTTCATCTTTTGCTTCTCCCTGCCAGTCTCCTGTCTATCAGTTTTAAACTTTAAGCAAACTCAGATCTTTCCTCTCTCTGAGGTTAAGGGTAAATAATGTTCCTCTTCCCCACATCCCTCTCTGGTTGTATCACATTTTATCTGCCTTTTTCATGTGCCTTATATTTATGTCTCAGCTAGACACAATGTCTTTACTTGTATCTAAAGGCCTCTGCTTATTCATCAAGGCAGAGTTCCCTACTCTTGTCCTGGGTACCTGTAGTACTTTGTCATTTCACTTACTCTGGCGAATATCAACTGTTTGCTTGCTTGACTCTTCAGTAGTCCTTAAGAACTTTGAAGGAGGGACTGCTGCTTTTCTCCTCAGTGTCTGGCAGAGGGATATGCAATAACATTGTTGACTGACTGATTAAATTAATGAAGGTTAGATTAATATGAAAGCCAGAGGTGCCGTATTTCTAAAGTAGAGTGTTTCCTTAAAAGATAACTTAAATAGAAATTATAGCTTAAGTAAAATCAAAAGAAATATATAGATAGTTATATGGTCACTAACACTAATTAAATATGCTTATTGTTTCAAGGGAATAGACATTAGGATAATTCCTATAGAAAAATGAATCCATTGATTAATGTTAATCTCATGTTATTCATGTGGTATAAAGCATTTCTCTTTGACCTTGAGACAAGGCCACTTATTCTTTTGTCTCTTAACAAAATAAGACTTATGACCTTTGCCCATTGGTAAATTAAACTTTTGCTGTCACTTGAAGGATTGGTTTTACAAGGCTAGTTCTATCTCTTACTTATATATAGAAAGCTAATTATTTGTGCTATACATTATAGTTGAATATCAAAGAAGTATTTCTTACTTTGAGTTACAGATGTGTGGAAATAAAAAAGGAATGTAATTGAGAAAAATACATTGTATTATTATAATGCAGCAAAATCAAAGATACAAACAGTTAAATGTCAACTGGAAGAAAAAAACTTGTCATCCAAAAAGCTACTTTACTTACTATATGATGTTCTTAAAAAATCAGTATGAAAAACAGGCAAAGAATATGGAAAAGTAGTTTACAGAATAAAGCTGAGTCTACATGTCAGTTCATCAGTTAACATTTAAGCAGTTAATAATAGTTAATGTTATGTAGCACCCAGTGTTTGCCAGGCACCAAGCACTTTTAATATATTAGCCTAGTTAATCCTTGGAGCAACCTTACAGAGTGAGAATTACTATTATACTCATTTTACACATAAAGAAACTGAAGCCAGAGAGATTAGTAATATCAAAGGATATTGAATATATTCTATAAATTATCCAAAATAGTCACTTTGAATGTCCACTCCACCTTTTTTGTTAACTAAAAGTACAGGAGTCAGTCATATTTCTACCACCAAAAGCATTCTTTTTCCATATGTGTGATTTATTCTTCTATTCATTATGCCTAATTGCCTTGTGACATTTGTTCCCTCTTACATCATTAGTGTTACATTATGAATTCTACTTATGGGGTTATGTTTGGGTTCCCTGTGTTTGGAATCCTAAAACTTTGGCAAAAAAAGTTGCAGTAAAAATGGTCTGACATAATCTCTCTTGAGTATTGGTTATGGTGACCCAGGAGGCCACTCTTTAAAGCATCTGTCCAAACAAGGGTTCCTTGAGCTTAGGGTATCCTGTTCATTGCCTGAAGTTTAGTAAATTGTAATCTCATACGTGCTGTGTGTATGTTAAATGAAAAAATTTCCCTTGTTTTATAACATTAAAAATTTTAATTTTCTTTTTCAGGACACCATAAATTGCATAGGTGGATTAAATGTACTCTTTCCTCTATTGGAACAAATCACCCACTTTAGTGAAAGACAGATTGCTGAAGGAATGAATGAAAGCACAGTTTCTGAACTGATAACACCTGTAGATGGAGATTGGGTGGTATTGACTTCAATAAAGGCTTCAGGTATTAAAATGAAATTAACACAAAATAGTCACTGAGAAATTTGAAAATTAGTTGAAGAATAGATTGAAATGTTTTGCCACTGTAGAAACTTTATTCTAGCTGAAGCAGCCCATCCCTAATTTTACTAATGAAGTTCAGAAAATTCATAATACTTTGGTCAAAGAACCTAAGATTGTTATTTACTCTTGACTATCCTTAGTTTATACTCTTAGTGGAACTATGACAGCATTGTTAATATAATAGCTTACTTAATCCTTGAAGCAATCCTTTACATGTACATATAAGTATATAGTATGCAATTGCTACTTTCTCTGCTATTTGCATTCTGCAAGTGACCTTTGGAGGCAAATTGCTGAACCAGATTCTTTGTTAACAGTATGCATTATGATATAGAAAATATGATATAAGCTATTAGAGTAATCACAGTAATTAATGACATGTTCACAATTCCTCAGAGTCAAGACTAGAGAGAAATTTAATTGCAACATTTATCTTGATTGTGAAACACTTTATTCAAAGACATCCTATCAACCAGGACAATCTTATTCACTCCCACGGAGTAGCTACCCTTGGTGCCTTACTTCAGAAGGTAAGATTCTCAAACATTATGTAGATATGGCTGACTATAATCAGCAGTTTGTGTTGAGATTTTTTTCTTCCTAATACATGCTTTTTCAATTACACTATTATAGCTTAAGTTACATTAGTGGATATAATTTATTTCAAAAGCAGATTTAAAAAACTTACTTTGACTCATCTTTGTGTAAGAATTACTATCTTACATAATAATATAAAATCTTCAATATACAGGACCTTGCTTGTTAGCACTGGTATTTGGGATATTTGATAAATTTAAGACTATTTTAAGAATATGACACCAGGAAGATATGTTCTAACATTATATCCAAATTAATGTTTAAGTTCATATTTTTCTAACCAAGATTTTTATATTTGGTAGATGTTCTGGATTAATCACTGGAAATTATAGCTTAGTGACAATTATTTAAACTGAACTTTACAGAACCCTCTTCTGTTTGGATTTCAGGTGCCAAGCACCTTGATGGATGTTAATGTATTGATGGCAGTCCAATTACTAATTGAACAGGTGTCATTGGAGAAAAATTTACAGCTCCTACAACAAATTTATCAGTATTTACTCTTTGATTTCCGTATTTGGAATCGTGGAGATTTTCCCTTTCGAATTGGTGAGAGCAGGCTGTTAGATAAAATTTTATAGTTGTTTTTAGAAATTTATAGCTACTTAAGTGATTTATTTTAAGTATATCATATAAGAGTGAATTTTCTATTTTAGGTCATATCCAATACCTTTCCACCATCATCAAAGACAGCAGGAGAGTTTTCCGAAAGAAGTATGGTGTGCAGTTTCTCTTAGATACACTTAGGATTTATTATGGGTATGGTATCTTCGCTCCTTCCCAAAGTTTGATATATTTTTCTGTGTCCTACTTGATTGGAATATCTAGATTGTTTATTTCCCAGCAATTCTAATGTCCTTTAACTTAAGACAGGCAGGTTAGTGTGGAATTTAAAGTGATAAATGGTGGATCACATTCACTGGGTTTGAATATTGTGTTTCATTGTCTAGCCATAGAAAACTTACTCAACTTTCCCATGCCTAACATTTTCTGGTCTTTGACAAGGAGATAATAAAATTGTGACATCCTATGGCTGTTTTGAGGATTAAATTAAATGAATAACATTCAAAGCACTTAGAACTATGTCTGCCACATAGTGAGTGTTGCATAAATATAAGTTGTTTTAACAATTTATATCTTTGTCATTGTAACCCCTAACTTCAAAAGATTTTCCTTTAAAAAGAAAAAGAAGCCAAAGATAACCATGAATTCTAATAATTACAAAGAAACACATTTTTTAAAAATAAAGTATTGTTGATATACAATCTTATATTGGTTTTGGATGTACAACAAACACAGTGGTTCAGCAGTTTACCCAAATTATTAAATCCTCACCCCTTCTAGTGTGGTTACTATCTGTCAATATAGAAAGATGTTACAGAATTATTGACCATATTCTCTATGCTGTACTGCCATCCCCATGACCAACTTACATTGTGATTGCGAATAATTGTGCCCCTTTATCCTGTCACCTTCCCCCCAACCGGCCCCAATGCTCCCCCTTGGTAAACCATTAGTCACTTCTCAGTATCTGTGAGTGTACTGCTGAGAAACACCTTTTTTAAAACTTACAATTCTTTTATATAAAATCACAAAAATATACAAATTTAAAATTTCAATTTTTGCACTTTTTCTTTTAGGAGTGATTGCAAATATAGTGAGCTGTCTCTAGATGATATTCGAACAATAAGGACTTCTTTGTATGGGCTCATTAAATATTTTCTGTGCAAAGGTGGAACTTATGAAGAGATACAAAGTATTATGGGTTACATAGCTGCTGTCAGTGAAGAAGAACAGGTATTAATGCCTGAGATAAATCTATGCTTTTCTTTTTAACATTTAAGTTGTTGTATCATCTTCTTTTCAACATAAATGTTTTATTTTAAGAGTAAAATGTTTATAGCACCAAACATAATATTACACAGTTAAACAGATATTATCTCCTACTGAAAGTTTAGTGAAATAGTACAATCAAATATTTTAATTAGCTAGAATGTAGTATGTGGCAATAGTTGCTTTGGCAATTCTGAAACCTATTTTCACACATAATGTATATTTATCATCAAAGTTTACTGGGCAGATTTTTAACATGAATTTTAAAATAACATTCTTCATAAAAATTTTTTATAAAGAATAAATTGTAAATGTACCTCTATTTAAAAATAGTTTTGTTATTCATTTATACCTCAGAACTACTATTTAAGACATTGGTTCTCAGTGTATTGGCCCTGACCAGCTTTACCTGGGAACTTGTTGGAAATGCAAATGTACTGCTGAACCAACCCTCCAGGTGATTCTAGTGCAAGGTTAAATTTAAGAACCAATGATATGTAATATACAGACCAGGAATTATTCTTCTCATTTGCACATTTGGAAATACACATTCAGAGATATTAGGTGACTTAAAAAGTCACACAATTGATAAACCTGGGACTAGAACTGTGGTGTACTTACTGCCTTTTCTGTATTTTTGTATACCACTCTCAACACCTAATTTGAGCAGTGTTAATTTATGTTAACTCAAATATTTTGCCCTTTGTTATGATATATTCTTTGTGTATTAGGGGTTACATGACTTAGTAATCAGTATTGTATAGATGAATTAACTTAGGCTATGTCCTTGTACAGTTGGTCCACTTCAAAACTTCTTGTTATTTAGAATAATGAGTAGCCATCTTATTTCATGATTGGTATATTGTCACTTGCTGTGATTTTTTGCTAATGATACTTTCTTGGTCAATTCAAAAAGTTTTTATTGAAGAATTACTATATACATAAAATAATACTAGATATTGTAGGTATATAATAATTAATAAACTAGCATTCTTACTGTTAGCCTAATGGAGTCAGGGATGGATGAGAAGTTTATAAGTGATAATGAAACAAAAAAGAGGTTGATAATATCTGTAAGAGAGATACAAAGACCTATGAGATTTTCATAGGAGAGTATTACATGTTGAGGAGACTAGAAAAGGCTTTATGGGAGAAATGGCTTTTCAAATGAATAAAGCGGGATAGGTATGGTTTAGCAGGTGTATATGGGTAGTGAGAAGATACCCAAAAGGCAATTGAATAAGCTAAAAGCATAATGGGGGAGAAAACCAGGGCTATTTCAGAAGACGTCAGATAGTCTAGTTAAGCTAGAACATTAGTGTATATAGGATTTAGTTAAGTAACTCTGGTTTTTTATTTATGCTTCCATATATGACTGTGGTTGTTTATTTTGTGCTGTTTAATTTTAAAAGCTCTTTGGAATTTTGGATATACTCTTCAGTCTTCTACGTACCAGCCCAACCCGAGGCCAGCTTTTCTTACTGCTGTTTGAACCAGGAAATGCTGACATACTTTATGCCTTGCTCTTAAACCAAAAGTATTCTGACAGACTAAGAGAAATCATTTTTAAGGTATAAACATTTATTAAGTATTTTTATATTTTGGGGCATTTGTGAGTTTATGAATTTACTCATAGTATATCCATTTTATGAATGTAAATTCTTTTCATATATATTTCTATCTAATTTTAAATTATTTAATTTGTTTTGATATAGACATTTAATGGTTTTGTTTTCATATTTAAAAACATATTGTAATCTGATCAATTATTTCAGTGAATAATAATCAATTATTATTCACTTTGTCATACCATCCTCAATATAAAACCTCTCAGCTTCCTTTTGACTTACTGTGGATCTGCATGGCAGATTAGACATTTTATTAGTTAATAATAATAACTAACTTTATGTAGCATCCACTGTCAGCACTAAACACTCGTCACATACTAGTTTTCTTAATTCTTGCAAAAACTTTATGAAGTGGATATTCTTATCCTTATTTTACATATAAAGAAACTGAGACCAGAGAAATTAGTAACTGGTCAAAGGATATTGAATATATGTTAAGCTATACAAATAGTTACTTTGAACGTTCATTGAATTCACCACTCCACCTGTTTTGTTAACTAAAAGTAGAGGAGGCAGTTACATTTCTGATGCCAAATACATTTTTTTTCATGATTTATTCTCTTAACACATTATGCCTAATTGCCTTGTGCTGTTGTTTTCTCTTACATCGTAGTGTTACATTATAAAGTCTTCTTACGGCATTCAGTTTTGATTGCTTATGTTTGGAATCCCCAAACTTTGGAAAGCAAAGGTGCAGTAAAAATGGTCTGATGTAGTTTCTCTAGAGTATTGGTTATGGTGACTCCTGAGGCTGCTCTTTAAACCTGCTGCCCAAACAGGGTTTCCATTATGGATATTAAGTATTATGTCAATGTTTTCTCATTCTTGAAAATTATTTTGATAGCTATTATATAGTGTTACATAAATTACTATATCTTGAAGTATCTTTGTTCTCTTTCAAACATACCTTTGTTCCTCTTGCAGGATATAGGGGTTTGTTTTCATCTACGCCTTAGACATTAAATAAAATTTTAAATTACTTCTTTGATCTGCTGAGAAATATATTTAAACTAGAGTTTTAAACATATTAATTATGCAAATGCAAATGTGTTTCAGTCTAGTTTCTTCTTAAATCCATTCTTTAATATGGATATGGAGTACTCTTCAATATTAGTGCTGGGCTTGTTTGCTTTTTATGCTTAAGGAACAAAATAATGCTCAAAAATATTATACTGTAATATTTTATTCAATATTAACCTAAATGGCAAGTTGTTCTTAGTTCTCTATATTGAGAAGAATATATTACTATGACCAGGTTATAGAACAAATGTTGAAATGCACAAACGTTTATGAACGAAGTAAACAACGTATTCGACTTAGAGAAGTTGGCTACTCAGGATTGGGACTCCTTCTCAATGAAGCACCTGTTACTACATCTCTTATTAAAAGCCTCACTAATCAAATCATAAATACAGGTAAGATTAAGACTGGTAATACTGATACATTTAAGAAACGTTCTTCATAGTAGCATAATTTTACTTGATGGTTTACAGGGGTTTTTTTTCCTGAAGGTTTTTTTTTCTTCCTCCTTCTTCAGGTTGCTTTTTAAATTACCTTTCATTTGATTCAGCAGGGCTTGCCTGGAGTACTGTTTCTTACTCACCTTGTTGTTTTAGTCTCTCTATGACATAACATAATGCTGTACTTGGATGATCTTCAGGAAATGTTTATTGATTGAGTAATTAGTAAATATCTGAGTTTCTATAACAACAAATGGACACTAGAGAAAATAGATACAAAATATTCTTCCTTTGTTTATGGAGGTTAAAATGAAAACTTATTTCAGATAACCCTTTTTGTTTTCATTTTATTTTTTAATAAACCTTTTTTTGTAATAGTACAAATTATAGAATTTATATTAGGTGCCAGGACTTCAAAAGACATAGGATAAGGCACTATGTCTTGAATAGTTTACCATCTTATGAAGATAAATATATAAGGTATGTATATAAAAAAGATAATGGTAGAGGCCAAGCTGAAGATGGCGGCATGAGTAGAGCAGCGGAAATCTCCTCCCAAAACCATATATATTTTTGAAAATACAACAAATACAACTATTCCTAAAGGAGAGACCAGAAGACAGGACAACAGCCAGACTACATCCACACCTGCTAGAACCCAGCGCCTCACAAAGGGGGTAAGATACAAGCCGCGGCCTGGCGTGACCCGAGTGCCCCTCACCGCAGCTCCTGGGGGGAGGAGAGGAGTCGGAGCGGGGAGGGAGAGGGAGCCCAGGACTGCTAAATTGCCGACGCTAGCCATCCGCACCAGAGCACGGATACACAGAGTGTGGTGTGCTGGATGCTAGGGAAACAGGACAGTAAGACCTGTGAGCAGATCCCTGCAGCCAGGGCCCCTGAGCCAAAGAAAAGCGAGTGCTTTTTGAAAGTCTTAAAGGGACACGGACCCCACAGCTGGACGGAAGCATCCCAGGACACTTACCGCAGCAGATGGGAATCCCGTGGAACTCCAGGCGCCATAAGCCCCTGGGCAGCAGCGCAGCTCGTAAGCTCCACACGGCGATAAACAGCCTCCCGCCTGTTTCCACTCTGAGGTGGCTCCACCATATTGGAGCAGCAGACTGAGGCAGGCCACGCCCACAGCAACCACAGAGTTTAACTCCACAGCGGCCAGGCAAGAATTAGAGGCCCCGTCTGCACGCAACTGCATAGCACAAGCTGCTAAAGGTGGCTGTTCTCCCAGGAGAGGAAAGACACAAACCAGCAAGAAGGGGCAATCTCCCAGCTGACGCACACGCCAGATCTGCACAACTACCTCTATTGCCATGAAAAGGCAGAAGAATTTGATACAGACCAAAATCACAGCAACCCCAGAGAAGGTAATAGACCTAACCAATCTTCCTGAAAAAGAATTCAAAATAAAGGTCATAACGATGCTAACGGACCTGTAGAGAACTATGCAAGAGATAAAGGATGACATCTGGAGGGAGATTACAGGAATGAAACAATCTCTAGAAGGATTTATAAGCAGAATGTATAAGATACAAGAGGCCATTGATGGGATAGAAACCAGAGAACAGGAACGCATAGAAACTGACGCACAGAGAGATAAAAGGAACTCCAGGAATAAAACAATATTAAGAGAACTGTGTGACCTATCCAAAAGGAACAATATCCGCATTGTAGGGGTACCAGAAGAAGAAGAGAGAGAAAAAGGGATAGAAAGTGTCTTTGAAGAAATAATTGCAGAAAACTTCCCAAAACTGGGGAAGGAAATAGTCTCTCAGACCACGAAAGCACACAGAACTCCCAAAACAAGGGACCCAAGGAGGACAACACCAATACGCATAATAATTAAAATGGAAAAGATCAAGGACAAGGACAGAGTTTTAAAGGCAGCTAGAGAGAGGAAAAAGGTCACCTACAAAGGAAAACCCATCAGGCTGTCATCAAACTTCTCAACAGAAACCTTACAGGCCAGAAGAGAATGGCATGATATATTTAATGCAATGAAACAGAAGGGCCTTGAACCAAGAATACTGTATCCAGCAAGATTATCATTTAAATATGAAGGAGGGATTAAACAATTTCCAGACAAGGAAAAGTTGAGGAAATTTGCCTCCCACAAAACACCTCTACAGGATATTGTAGAGGGACTGCTCTACATGGGAGCACTCCTAAGACTAAATAGATGTCACCAGAGAAAATGAAATCACAGCACAGAAAAGAAAATGAAATCACAACCAAATACAAACTAAAGGCAAAAAATAAAATCAACTACCCACAAAAGCAGTTAAAGGAAACACAAAAGAGCATAGAGTAAAACAACCAAAACAAAAAGAATGGAGAAGGAGGAATAAAAAGGGAGAGAAATAAAGAATCATCAGACAATGTTAATAACAGCTCAATAAGCGAGTTAAGGTAGACAGTAAAATACTAAAGAAGGTAACCTTGAACCTTTGGTAACCACGAATCTAAAGCCAGCAATGGCAATAAGTACATATCTTTCAATAATCACACTAAATGTAAATGGACTGAATGCACCAATCAAAAGACACAGACTAATAGAATGGATAAAAAAGCAAGACCCGTCTATATGCTACTTATAAGAAACTCACCTTAAACTGAAAGACATGCACAGAATGAAACTCAAGGGATGGAAAAAGGTATTTCATGCAAACAACAGGGAGAAGAAAGCAGGTGTTGCAGTACTAGTATCAGACAAAATAGACTTCAAAACAAAGAAAGTAACAAGAGATAAAGAAGGACATTACATAATGATAAAGGGCTCAGTCCAACAAGAGGATATAACCATTATAAATATATATGCACCCAACACAGGAGCACCACCATATGTGAAACAAATACTAACAGAACTAAAGGAGGAACTAG